TGCTAAGCGTAACCATAAATTCTATTCTAATAATATCTTCTCTTGCACTTCTCATCTGCGGAACTCTCTTCTGGTTTATTGTTTTCCAGTCAACTATGATTTTCAAAAATTTAAATGCAACATTTTCTGTCTCCTTGAATCCAGTTCATTTTATTGTCCATTCTCCTAAGTAATGTTTCCTCAGTTTCCTTCACTATTGGTAACCCACTTGCATCCTAGTGGCTTTATTGCCTTGCTTCAGAGTGAAATGATTAAAAATGAAATTATTTTAATTATAATCATAGTCATTTTCTGATATTTCTGTATTATATATTTATATGATTTATTTATGAATCATCATCATCATAATAATAATAATCATCAGTTGTTCTTTTTTGCCACATCCTATCCCACATATGTCAGTGTTATCATGGATTTCAATTACGATTAGTACCATCCTTTACTTTCTGATATGTACCCTCCTGCAGTTGAATATACTCCTACATGTGAACTCCATTTTTTACCCTTACTTGTGAATATGTGTAGCCAAGTTCAAATCCCATTTAGTTCTGTTTCATTCATTTTGCATAAATGCCCTTGGAAAAGGTATGAATCCATAGCTGGAGGAAGATTGATTCATACCTTTTCCAAGGACATTTGTGCAAAGGGAATGAAACAGAACTAACTGGGATTTGAACTCGGCTACACATATATGGGTAGAAGGGGATATCTTGCTAATCACCCTAGGAAAAGTATCCTGAAGAAGGCTAGACACATCCCTGATTCACACTGAGAACAGTTCATTACAACCTTCACCACATATGTAAGATACATCCAAATTTTCATTCACTCTTATGATTACATGTATAGTGACACAGCAAATTATAAAAAGCATCTATAGAAATTCATTAAAATTTATTTTACTGTAAAAAACACATTGCAAATTATTTACTATAGAAAACGTTGCAATTATTAAATATGTCAAAACTTTCATTCACTCTAATTACATAAATTTAACTGCTAAAGGACCATTTTCTATTTTGAAGGTCTCTTCTAAATATAGAATGTGCTGCAGTGGTTATTGGTGTGGGCAGTAGAGAAGAGATCTTCCTCCATAAGACCATGTAAATGATTTTGAATTCTATCAAAGCTAGAAAGTAAGGATCAAGCCACTCCAGCCCTGATATAGCAGCAACGCTCCATTTTTGGTCTAATCTGACTCTTGTAAAGATAAAGAGAATGGTAGGAGAAATTTATGAAATGTCATGGAGATTTGACTATAAATACATTTTTTTTTAAAGAGCAACAGTTATTTCTTCACTTCCAGTTGTTAGATAGAATTCAAGATAATTCAAAAGTTTTTATAGCAAGAAATTATAATGGACTGGATAATTAACATTATTTTCAGATTTGTTCATCTATTTCCAAAATCCATATTCTTAAAATGAGAAATCATTAATGATGATGGAAGTTTCTATAAAATGTTTTCCTTGTCATTTTTTTTTAATCACATAATGGCAAACCCACATTTTTTTTTATCTTTTTTTTTTAATGAAATCCAGGTGAGAATTGGCTTTTAATATGATGATAGCTATAAATAAACATTTTTAACTGAGAGCTTTCAAGGTCTTCACATCAAAGATTAATACTTGACCCTTTTCATTTTCTTTATAAAAGAGATGATGATGTCTCATTTAGCAATGACCATGTGTCAAACTGGGAAATATGTTCCTTCTTAATTTTAATTTTATTGTAGAATTATTCTTTTCATTCTTTTTCATTTACAGATAGACATATTTAGCATTACTTAAAAAAAACATTTTATAAATTTCAACTGACAATGGTAATGGGTGCTCAGTCCATGAAAGCTGAATGTGTCCTTATAAGGAAACTGCTAATATTACCATTACTATAGACATATTTAAATTTGTTGAAAAAGAATAGACTCTGCTCTTTTATTTTAGCTAGAGGTTGGTTGATTTTGTTTAGTGACATATTGACTTCCAAGGATTATTTAATGCTGAAATCTAAATATTTTGAACATAGCTGGCTTCAACTACAGGCAAAATGTATTATTGGTCATTTTGCTATAAAATTTATTGTTGGTAATTCTGCTTAAAAAATGTATTGTTGGTAATTTTACTATAAATATGTATCATTGTTAATTTTTTAGTCTAAAAATGTATTTTTATACTTTCATAGTGTTTTTTGGGGCGGTCGCTATTTGCCCATATCTGGGACCCTAACAAGTGCTACCACACTGGGTGAGGGTGAACCTGGGAACAACAGCAATTAAGAGGTAGTTCTACACTCCTCAAAACAACCAATCTCCCAATCAAAGACTGTATGTAGTTTATCTCAAGCAAGGCAATAAAAAGATGCAAGGGGTTCTTCTTTTTATGTGTCACGTCTACTTAGGATGTAGGCGATCATTGCTCTCCACAATTTCTTGTCCCTTGCAGTTCTAAATAAATTCTGTCTTTTCGTTATTTCTAAACTTTGTCTTGCCATCCATTTTCTCAAACTTGTCAAGTATGTTGTGCATTGTTTTTCTCTGTCACACTTACCCTCAATCTGTCCTGTGAGTATCAGATTTTCCAAGCCCTTCTTCATGATTATGTGGCCCAGAAATTTTAATTGTCTCTTCCTGATGTTAAGTGTAGGTTTCCTTTTTGTTTCTATTTTCTCTAAAACTTTCTCATTAGCCACATGTATGGTCCATGGTATTCCCAGCATTCTTCTGTGCAAGGTGGTACTGTGAGTAAAAAATAGAGAGGACAATAAAAGAATGGGATTCAAAGAAACAAAAGATGATGATTGACACTGCATTTAAATTTTTGAAGATCATTGTTGACAGGAAAACAGGAAGCTGGCATAGGGGAGAAGTGCGAGAGAAAACAAATTATAAGCATAGAAATTATGGCTACAACTAGCAATTTCAACACAGAAATTATGAGACCTAGCTTCCAATTTAGCACGGCACTAAAATTTGTGAATCAAGATACCAATGAGGAAATCTCATTTGAACAATTACTATGAAAATATTTATAAAATATAGAAGAAGTTATGTTACGGTGGTGGGAAAGTGACTGAAGCCAAGATGCCAGGTCAGGACCGATATTGTTGCTGATTCTTCTTTGGATTTTGTCAAGAATCACTAGATCAGTGTTCCTCAACCTTTTTACCCTTGTGGAACCCTTGAAATAGTTTTCATCTCTCAGGGACCCCCACCCCCGATAAAAATGATTATATACCATTATTAATATCTATCTTTTATATTTTTATCATAGTTCATGTGGTAAACATAATATACGGACACTGTACTCGAGTGAGTTACTCAGTGATACACAAATTCACCATGTACAGATCCTGTCCACTAATCATTGCAGGTGGTTTCACACTGACACCATATAGACATCGCTAAATACATTTCCTATGATTATTATAATTTTAAATAATATAAAAGGTTGAAGCCTTTATTATAATAACCAATGATTTTCCAACAATATGCCATACATGTATAGTAAAATTACAAATATAAAGTTAAACAAAAATTACTCAAAATGCATTAGCCTAATTATCACTGTTTCTTGTAGAACCCCTAGCGACCTCTTGCAGAACTCTAAGCTTCTTTGGAATACCAACTGAGAAACACAGCTCTCGCTGTGGCAGCAATATGTGATACATGGACAAACAGTAGACTTATAAATGTAGAAGATAGATTCTGATGAGAAAAAACTGTCTAGCATAAAATAGTGAACTGACTTTCCTAGCAGCAGATTTAGCAATTGATTCAATATAAAGCTAATTGGTCTCTTATTCTGCAAAACATACAAATGAAAAAATAAATGTTAAAATATGCAAATGGAGATCTCTCAGAAATGTATGAATAAAAGAAAGAAATGTAACAAAAAGGAGCAGAAAGAACATGAAGAGTTGAAGAAAAAAGAAAAAGGGAAGAGAAAGAAATGGTTATAAAAAGAAGGTAAATGAAATAATAAACTGAGAAAAAAATGAAAGAAAGAATTTTAAAGATGAAGGGAAAAGAGAGAAAGGTGGATCGGAAAATAAAAGAAAAAGAAAAAGTAAGATGAATTAAGTAAAAAGAAATGATGGCTATAATATAGAATGGGGAGAAGACAAATTAGAGGGAGAGAAAAAAATAGAATCCAACAGTAGTTGAAAACATGAAGAAAAAATAAAGAATATTAAAACAAGGAACTATTATAGTAAAGAAAAGTATGAAAAGACAAAGAAAAGGTATATTTTAAAAGAAAATATCATTATAAGTGCAAAAAAAGGAAGAAAAAACAGAATCTGACAGTGGTCAAAAACCATGAAAGAAAAAGAAAGAAGATTAAGACAAGTCAATTATAGTAAAAACAAGAATAAAAAAACCCAAAGAAAATGAATATTTTAAAAGAATATATGATTTTAACGGAAGAGGAAAGAAGAAAATGCAAAAGATATTTAAAAAAGAAAGACTAAAACAATGTTAAAACAGTAAAAAATGGAATTGGAAGCAACATTTTATATATTTATTCATTTGAAAAAGTGATGTATGGCATTTTCACTGAAAATAATCTATTTTTTTTCGTATCCAAAGTCCATCTTAAAAACATGGCCATTTATCTATTAACTGCAACACACACCAAAACCACACCTGCCTTCCTACCTCTTGTATGTGAATGTCCATGCTCACCAATCGTGTTTAAGACAACTTAAATGCAACTGAAGGGAAATAAAATTCATCATTTTATTCTCATTTCCAAAAAGAATTACATTCAACTCTCCTTAAAAGGAATTTTGTTTTCAAGATACGCACAAAACACATGCGTATATGCAAGTATAAGTTGTAGAAAATGCATGCATGTATATTCAGAGCCATACACATTTATTGTACAGTTATCCAGTAGTGTATTAGAAATTACCTACTTGCACATACAAAAACAACTTCATCATGCAGACACACATATTTTTGTGCATAGATATCTATATATTGATGTTGTTTTATCCAGCCTTACAGCCATATCATGTTCAAACACTGGACCTCGTATGGTCACTGAAATTAAGCAATGTCGAGCCTGGTCAGTACCTAGATGGGTGACCACTTCTGAATACCAGGTGGTTTAACTATGGATGTGTCGGTGGTGTAATGGATAATGGCTAGCAATTAGAAATCAGTGAGTTAAGTTCCAATTCCAGCCAGATTTTTTATATTCACTTACACATATATATCCTTGGGAAAGGTATGAATCCATCCCTTCTCCTCCAGGCTAAGGGTTAATTAGTAAGAATTGTATCAGTAAAAATAATTATTATCTCCCAAAAATTCTTATAGCTTAAGAATATTTTCTGGTTTTAAATAACCTTTCAAGAGGTTGATAATGTGTTCATATGTATATATTTAGAGTATATATATATATATTTGGTTACATAATCAAATTGTTAGAATGTCAGTGTTCCAATATATATATATATATATATATATATATATATATATATATATATATATATATATATATATATGCATGGCTGAGAGGTTAAAATGTTCATTCTATGAGAGCAGTGTTTTAAATCTCATTATGGTCGATTTGTCAAGGAGGTGATTTTTTAATAATACTGACATGGGGAGATAATCCCAGTATGTTGCACTGTTAGAAAGTGCTTGTCAACCATAACATGTATTCACCCAAGCCTTATGAATGAAATTAGGTAGATGGAACTGTTTGGAACATGACTGAGGATTTGGGCATGCTGGCATAGTCCAAAACTGTTGATCATGTCAGATTACATGTTTTCTCCCTGTAATTAATGTCTGCTCAGTATAGTTGCAGTATAAACCACAGGTTGGCTGTGTGGCTGTTGGAGAAATACAAATGTGCCTGAGTAGGCGTCTGCAACAGGGATTAAGGAAGCCAACCTAGCAGATGGGCAAAACTTGGAAACAAGAGGCCAGGTATTGCATTTAGGAAGAGGGTAACATAAAGATATAGATACACTCATACAAATATGTATACTTTTCATACAGATATGTTCAAATATTTATAAATATGGTGGAAGATAATAGAAGATAATAATTCTTCATCTCAAAATTTCCAATATATTAATAACTAATAACTGTGTCAGTCTCTGGACATTGATCCATCCTTATATATATATATATATTTGTGTATAAAATTGCATATTTTATTTCATCAGAATTACAGCTTATATATGTGTGCATCTTTAGAAATCTATGTATTAAAGTGTATGCATCAATATATGAATTTTTATTTAATCATTTTATACCAAGGAAGGCATTAAAGCCACTAAGATGCAAGGAAGTTACTGAGTGTGAGAGAATATAAGAAAACATTATGAAGGAGAGAGAACAATAAAAGAACATGAATTAAGAAGACAGAAGGTAACAACTGACATTGTATTTAGATTTTTGAAACTAAGAAGCTGGAAGAGAGTTTCATAAGCAAGAAGTGTGTGAGAAGAAATTGTTAGCATAGAACTTACAGTTACATCTAGACATTTTAATTATAAAATGATGAGACCTATCTGCTAATCTAGTAGTACATTTAAATTCATGAAGTCTCGATACCAAAGAGAAAAGCTGATCAGAATAATTATCATGAAAATATTTATAGAAAAGTCACGGGGAAGCTATGGTGGTGGGGAAAGTGACTGAAGCCAAGATGCCAGGTCAGGACCAATAATATTGCAGGTTCTTCTTTGTATTTGTTGAAGAATTTCTAAATACATAGCAGAATCACCAGACCAGATGTGGTAGCAATATTCAATGAATGGATGATGACTTATAAATGTGTCAAATAGATTCTGGTAAGAAAAATTGTATAGCATGACACAGTAGCAGCAGACCTAGAAATTGATTCAATATGATCTATACACATAAAAACTATGTATGCATACACACACACACAGAACATATAGGATGGGATTTTACCAGACTTTGTCCCCTGTAAGTCTGTCACTAACTATTTTTGCAGTAATTCAGAGGGAAAACCAGACACAAGTAAATATCTATTTAACTATGGTCAATCACTGCTGTCCTGCAATCTATAATGCAAGTGAATATTTGTTCATAATGTCCTGTCAACAAACTCATATAAACTTTGGCAAACAACAACTCAATCTCAAAGATGAGATGCACATAGGTTCATGCATATATTCTATGGCTTTCAAACACACAGGAACATGTACACAAATTCACATGCATTTATCTAAGACATTGTTTAGGAATGCAAACAGGCATTATCATTCTAGGGATATGCAAAAAATAAAAAATAAAAAAACATCCAGAAGAAACACAAGAGAATAATTATGATGGCAATGCTGATCTTCTTTTTATGTGCCATGTTCTTTCAGGATGTAGACGATCATAGCACTCCACCTCCCTCTATCCCTTGCAGCTTTCAGCAAGCTCCTTCCCTCTGCTTCCTCCCCCAGACCACATTCTGTCATTCACCTGCTCAAGCTCATCAGGTATATCACACTCTGCTTTCTCTTGTCTCTCTTTCCCTGAATTTGACCTGTGAGTATCAGGTTCTCCAGGCCCTCCTTCCTCATTGTGTGTCCCAGAAACTTCAGCTGTCTCTTTCTGATGTTAAGTATAAGCCTTCTCCTTGTTTGTAACCTATCTAAGACCTCATCGTTGCTCACATGCTTGGTCCACGATATCCTTAGTATTCTTCTATAGAATCACGTCACCTCAAGTCTCTTCCTCATTCTTGAGGAAATTTTCCAACATGCTGATACTATATCATTAAACTCTGACGATTGCATTTTTTGGAATAAAAACCAAAATTAATTGAGATAAAAGAAATTTTTACAGGTCTTCTCCATGCCATCCCCCAACCCAACTATGGGTAAATAGTAGGACAGACTGAGTTCTATAGCCTTGGGTGGCAACCAGGCTAGGAAAAAGAAAACTCCGTATTCAAAACTGTATGTAACTATGGCAGAGCATATACTATGCAGCTAAAGAAAGGATCATTTGCATTGACACGATGATCCCAAGTATTTTTTTTTGCCACTGATAAATTATATACTCTATAACTTATCTAAACAGATATGTGTTTTTAAAAAGTCATTGTAAAAGAAAATATTGTAGCAGAGAAGAGAAAAATTAATATGAATAAAAAGAAAATTGTTTTAAAGTATCAGTATTGGCTATTTAAATGTTCAATTTCATTTTATATATGAGCACTAATATATATATATATATATATATATATATATATAAGAAAAAGAACTACAGCATCTCATTTGATGAATTTCAGCTTAACATCAAGAAGATAATTAGAGAACTAGATGGAATTATTGTAAAAACAAATAGACATATGTCTATATTATTTAATGAAATATATATATATATATATATATATATATATATATATATTCATTAAAAACATGAAATATATATATATATTTTTATTAAAAACATGAAATATATATATATATTTCATTAAAAACATGAAATATATATATATATTTCATTAAAAACATGAAATATATATATATATATATATATATATATATATATATATATATATTTTCATTAAATAATATAGACATATGTCTATTTGTTTTACAATAATTCCATCTAGTTCTCTAATTATCTTCTTGATGTTAAGCTGAAATTCATCAAATGAGATACTGTAGTTCTTTTTAAACCAAGTACTTTCAATCTCCTCCTTGATCATACTCAGGGGTGAATTGCAAAGACAAACTTAATGTAATTGTAATCATTGTGATAGTGATTTTTGTAAACATGCATTTTTGTAAACATGCTCTGTTATAATTATTTTAAAATTAATCATTGTGGTTACAATGTTTTGTAAACAAGCATTCTGCATGCAAGATGGGTAACCACAGATGGTAAATTGCAGCATTTTGTTAAATATTAGTTTAACTGAAACAAAAGACATTATTAGAATACTCATAATAAATTTTGTGTTGGTTGGTTGCTTTTAATATAGAGGGCCTCAAGAATTTGAAGTTTTTGTTCATTATTTTTATGGTGTAGTATATTGGTGTTTTTAACAAGTATTTATTATTTATCTAATTATTAATTATTTAATGAAACATGCTTGAATGAAGATATGCTGTCTAAATACACACACACACACACACACACACACACACAAAGATTTATATTATTTATTTTAGAATATTAAAATAAAAACATGTTAAAAAATCACTAATTGTAATTGTATAGCAATTTTGAACATGTTTTTGTTTTAATATCCTAAAATAAATAATATTTAGTTCTACTCTGTATTGTGTCCTCTTTTAAATTAAATGTTACATACAGTGGAATTATACTTCATTTTTTCTCATTTTACCTGGATATATATATATATATATATATATATATATATATATATATATATATTACTTCAAATGTTATTTTTAGTGAATACCCATATTTGAGTAGATGCTCTGTTTTTATTTTGAACAGTATCTATTTCATCTACCAGCCTCTGCACACTTGAGAAAACTTATTAAAGAAATTGTGTCCTCCAGCAGGATTCGAACCTGGTCCACCTTTACAAGAGAAACCACGGGAGTGCACATTTTCTTTAATAAGTTTTCTTGAATGCGTAAATTTGTTACAACTACATCTAAAACAATAAAAAAAAACTGAATTAACACAGAAACAAAATAATAAGCTAAAAATTTGATGGTGGAATTTACTGTATAATAATGTAATTTCTATTTACCTTTAATAATTGCCATAAGGAATACACTGGAGAAACCTAGAGGAATTTGAATAAAAGATTTTATGAACACAAAAGGAATCTTTTACAAAACAACACATTAAATGCATTAGCTGCTCACCCTAATGAGACTGGCTACAATTTTGATTAAATATATACTACTCTAAATAAAAGAGAAAACAATTTATTAAAAGAAAAATGTTTAGAGAGTGCTTTAATTGCTAGATCAGCCACAGTAAATTTGCATCCAGATTCTTACAAGGTCTCACCATTCTTGGCTGATCTATTATCACAATGGGGGATACTTAATAACAAAAATGATGGAAACATAAACAAAAAGAAAAAGAATCTAAATGAAATCAGCTAGATTATATACCCAAAGCACACATAAAACAAAA